ACCAGGTGAATCCTCTGCAAAATATATATAAAAAATAGAAACTTAGAAAGACCACAGAGCAAGGGGGAGTTAAAAGGGTCATTGAGTGTGACCGGACATACCTCGTCCTTCATAATCAATGTCACCTAGTGGCTTCACCAACTCAATAGGGATCGGGCACTGGTACCTGCAACATCATTTGATCAAATAGAATTGAGAATTTAAGAGCCCGTGTTAAAATCATAGATTATAAAGAAGCTTGTAAAAAAAAAAACATGCATATATAAAAGATCGAATAATGGGTAGAACAACCAGAAAGATTAAAACAAGAAACCCTAGAAACTCACCCAACAGAGGATCTATTAAGCTCTTTCTTGGATAGGGTAATGGTTATCATTGACACATGCCTTGTGGTCTCCAAACTTGAAGACAAAACATAAAGGAAAGAGATAAGTAACAGTTTCTTAAGGTGATAATACATGTTAAAAATGAGCTCCTTGCACAATTAAAACCATTAATAACAAAAGGTATTTTTTTGCATCTTACGGTAAAAGGCCTTCTTCAATAGGTTCCCATGTGTCTGTTATGTCTGTAGATCCAATAGATGTGTTCTGATGAAGATCAGGGATCCTTCTCTGCGTTACATATCGAAAAAGGAAATTTTCAGATAACAGATCATCTGAACCACTGATTTGTGAAATTCGACCGGAAAAAAAAAACTAAAAATTACCTTAATCAGCTCCACAATGGTCACAGTCTTGTTGATAGCTCTTCCCATTGCCTTGAATACAACTTCAGTTGAGCCTTTTTCCTATATAAACAAAACAAGTCTAAATAAAACGGTTCGACTGAATCACAATCTCCCAAAGGAAAAGCATTAAAATCTTCTTCGACCACACGACAAACGACATTACTAATTACTCAAATAGTCTGAGCATATCTATCTGCCATGTAATAAGATACCGCAATTCGTTCATTTCCTCGATCCGAATACAAACTCATTTACGAAAATTTCGAGTAGATCAGATACGAACAAAATCCAAAATCGATGGAGCAGCTTACCAAAATCCCGGAAAAAAAAACACACACACATTCACTTTCCATAAACAATAACATAAATGATGCATCAATAAATCTAATCACTATATTTTAGTTCCAACTTAGCGTAAAGTATATCTGTAACGAGCTTATTTTAAAAAGTTTGATCCTGGATTCAAAACTTATTCATACTAATTACCAATAACAGTTCATAAACCCTAGACCAAATCTCCAAACACACCATAACAAGGATTGACACATTTCAGATTCATCGAAAGGAAGAAACAATATGCAAAATGAATCAAAAGAGGAACAACACAATACCTGAAGAAGAGTCATCGCATAAGTGATGTAGTTTCGTGCCCTACCCAAACTAGTGATACGAATCTCATTCTCATCAATCGGCGTCTCTGCCTTCGGCTTCTTCACTCGCTGATACCTATCCATCTGAAGAAAAGCAAAAAAATCCCCCAAAAATGGAAAATCTGAGAGAGAACTAGGGTTTTTGATTGTTGTGAACACGAGAATCCATTTCATCAACACACACACAAACAACAAAAAGGACTATAATCGGGATTTTTATCTTCGAAATCATTAGACTTACCTTTAGATCCTACGAGAAAGTAGAAGATTGAGATGATACGAAAATGGGGGTTTTGCCCAGGAAGAGCCCTATTTGTACGGCTTCGTCTCTCTCCTTTTACGCCCTANGAAACCATTTCTGATGCAAAGCGAGTCTCTGATATATATCTGAGCCGCACCACTTCTCTCTTCCACACACACACACGTTGCACTACCCTAATCGGTTTCGGTTCGTGATTAACCGAACCGAACCAAGAAAAATCAAGCTAAACCGATAACTAAACCAGCCGAATACAGTAAAGAATTACTCGTTACGTGTTAATTTAGATCCGGTTTATCAAGGGTCCGAACCGAATATATAACCGGGGTTGTTCTGAACTCCGGTTTAGTTGAGCCATATTCTTTTCTTTTTTTTTCGTTGTGAGAGAGTAAACTCGAATTTTTTTGTGATGATAATATCTTCAAGAAGATTATCCAGTTGCACAAAATGCGAAGGAAAAAGTCTAAATGGCTTTTTCGTTAAAAAAATAATATAAATTGTTTGATTGGAAACCAAATCTACACGTTATTAATAGAAAAATATCTGGATTATCGGTACTAATAACAATTAATAAACTAATTAAAAAGACAAAAATGCATTTTTTAATTTTATTAATATTTGAAGAACGTGACTGTCTGTGCTATTTTTGCAGATGGGTGTAAAAAAACATATCGTACCAGTATTTAATTAATTTAGATACAAATTGGCCTTTTAACGTTTTTTTTTGGTAATGTAACTTTTGAAACTGTGATGATCAAAACAAGAACTGTATAACTTCAACAAGAAACTGAGATCTTTATTTTCTTAGGAGAAATTTAAAATTGCACACCCTTAATGTGGCTTTGAAACTTCAAAGAAAACATAATCTTAACTAAAATACAGTTGGGATTTTTGTTCCACCAAACGTGAGTAGCATTTTATGTTTTTGTGGCACGAACCAAAATTCAACCATCTAATAGCATAATTAATTATCCATTTAATGATGAAATGATGACACAGTGAGTCATTATTTTTTTTCCTTTTTGAATCAAAACACAACGAATCATTCAACCAAGAAGATGTTGTTACTGATAGTAGTAGACTAGTAATGGATAAACAAGCTCTTAATTGTTATTTAAAAGTAATTTATAATAAATGTTTTAATAGATAATCAAGTATTAACGACCTGAGAAATGTAGTAATGGTTTGGTTGACTATGTAAAAAAAGAAGTAGGCAGATTATAAGAGAACCGGGCCGGTTTAATTTCATAAAGGAATCACTTTCCTTTTATTACAATGAACAACAACAGACAGATGTTCAACAAGTACATTATTACATATAGTCCAATGACACAGCAAAAGCATTCAACATCGTCAAAGGAAGGAAACGGTGTTATCTTGTGTCTCTACCTCGTGTGGTTTAACCAGTGGATCAATGATTTTTCTCCATCCTTCAAAATCTAAAGGAGAACCAGCACCAGAGAGTACGAAACCATTAACGTAGAAGGTTGGTGTTCCATATACCCCTCTTGAAGCGCTATACTGCAACACATTACCCCACAAAAGCGAAATACAAACTTGAAAGTTACTATTGTTCGTTTTCAGGCAAGAATAAGATTAGCCATGGGATCACAAACTTATACTGTACTTAATAAGACAAGATTCAGGCCAATTAAAAAAGAGTATTCTTCTATTGCCCTTACGCTACTCATTTTTGTGGATACATGTCGAAGTCATTTTAGTTCCTGGACTAGTTAAAGATGTCGAAGAAGGTAAGTAACCAAGAGAAGAAAAGCTCAACCTTGAAGGAAACCTTGGTTGCAATGTCTGATTTTGAGTCGCTGAAGCCGGATTTGAGGACATGTTCATATGAGTTTCCCAAAGTGACTGTTCCGAGCTTGACTATTTTGTCGACAACCGCAGGTCTTGACAAAAGCTGTGTTTGGGCGTTGGAGAACAATGCCTGTCGAAAAATACAGTTTCAGTGAACCATATAAAAAATGACATATCAATTCTCACTGGATAGAGATAGATTCAAACATATATTGGTTTGTAAGATTTCAGCTAAAGTTTAGCTTTTTACAAACCTGATGTTTGAAGAAACCTTCCAACAAACTGAAAGTAGCATTGGCGTGTAAAGTATTCACAATGTGTAAAGCCCGAGAAGCTACATATGCATTGTCATGGTAACTGCAAAATCCAAAAATCCAATTCATCATCACAAAATATGAATATTTTCACAAATCTCAAAGAAACCCATTCACATTTTCATGAAACAGACAAGGAAACATGAAAACAACAGGACTTTTCCTAATCCACTGGTCGATTGATATGATCGTTAAAAAGTCAACCAATACAGAAATTGAACCCGAAAGATGAGAAATTAGAGTACTGACGGTAAAGGAAGGAGGTGAATGATCAGAGCAACGCGAGATCCATAGTGTTCAAGAGCTTGCTTCAGTGGAGGCCAAGCGTCTCTCGTGTCCCCGCAAACCGGGTCAAAAAAACTCTCAATTAGTACAGTATCCGGGTCAACCCGACGACCAGGTGGGTAGACGAAACCATCTCGCTTCGCCGGCGGAACTAGCTGCGCCTGTACTAGAGTCCCGGCGACGAAGAAGACGACAAGGAACAAGAAAGTCGTTCGTATCATTCTCACACACTCTTTCTCTCTCCCCAGGATCTTCGGGGATTGTTAAAAACCAGAGACCGTGAGTCTAAGCAACGGCTACGATTGCTCGGAAGCTAAGCGAAGACACTCTCTTTCGTCTCTAACCGTTGGATTTCATTTTGTGCTGACGTGGCAGAAAGTCTTATTAGGTGGAAATTTGTAATTTTGGGTTCGAAAGTAATTAATTTATTTGGTCTTTAATAGTAAATAGCCATAAGTAAAAGCCCGTCCGAAACTAATTAAATAAAAATTTATGGTTCCGAC